TATTCGACGATTAAAAGAAACTCTTCGTGCAATAAATAATTCAAAAAAGTATTCGACTTACAGATACTCACATCAAGATTATATAGAAAATTGGAATATGTCATGACTATTTAAGATTGCAGTGCATCACTATTACTGATCGTCGAAAGCAAACTACGGATTTCGCCCACCGACATTTTTTCCGCCATTTTCTCGTGTACGCATCTATTGTTAAAGGTTGGTTCTTGTCTATATTTTATTTTTTACATTTTTATGTGTTTAAATGTTGTAATATTCAAGCGCATTCACTCTCTTGCGTTTCCCTGAGAGTTATGTAGATATTACAATTATCCAATCATTGAATGTATTCGTAAGGAATGATAAAAAATTATAAAAGACTTGTAATAAAAAATTTAATTAAAAATTATTTAACAGTTGATACTCGTTAATTAATATATAAATAAACAAACAAATAGTTTATAAATATAAATAAATTAATTAATAAAAGATTAATCTCGAGTATTATTATCGTCGATGAATTTTTAATTTGAAATTGATCGCACTTGACAAATATAATAATACTCGAGGATAAGTTTTAGTTTAGTTCTACATATAAGCTATTTGTTTATTTATTTATACTCGTATATTGATAAAAAGTCATATCTATTGGTATCTACCAAGGTTATCCACACTGGTTACTTACCTAAGTTTTTTTTAAATTTATCCATGCTAGAGTATTCTTTTACAAATGTCAAGTAATATTTGATATTATCTATGTATGATTATATATTTATTGTAATCAAATGATTCAAAATTTTAACATCAAACAGTTACAAATACAAATTGTTTTCATAAAATCATATTTTATATTTCGAGTTATCATCAAAATGAATTCAGATTTTATAAATGGATTTATTGTACTCTTTCAGAAAAAATCCTTGAGGATGGTTAGAGACATAGTTGTTGCTACGTCGTTATTGTCATCAGTGGCGAGTGGGGCTAAACGGTTTGGTGAAACATAGACTTTGTTTTTTTTTGTTATTTTGAGCTGGTGAAATTGACGAGGCTGACAAATTTTGTTTTAAAAGTATCGGTGTACACAGCGAGGCGAGACGGGTATTCTGTGCGTTATTCATCGTTATGATATTATTATTATTATTAGTTGGAACTGATAGTCAATAATGAGCGCGCATAACGATAACGAAGCAAATATGATACTATATAGTGTATGTACCTATGTTCATGATGAACGTTACGGCCGAACTGTGGTTTGAGAGATAATTTAAGTGAACCGTTTAAGACTCATTTTTGACTCATCTAGTACAATATATATATGTATATATAATATAATTTACGACATGGATTAATACCATTTACTTTTTAGATACTCGTATATTTCAGGTTTAATCTTCAGTCTCTCTTCAGATTGATTTAGAAGTTTATGAAATTACAAACCTTTACCATTGTTATGCTATAACAACATAATTACACTATATTGGTCATTATTTAAAACATTTTTTTTGTTTTCTTATATATTTATTGATTGAAATATTTATCACTCTTGTATTTTGATTTTAGCCATGGCTAGTGCAGGTAGTTCAAAATCTAATACAATTGTAAAATGTTGCTGCTGCCATGATTTATGTTGGAATTTTGATAAAGATATAGTCCGGTGTTCATGTTGTCAAAGAATTTACCACAAATCATGCTACTATCCAACTCTGTTAAATGTTGATACGTAAGTATTTGTTTAAATAAATATACCAGTATTTAATTTTCTAAAATATATTTATATAATTCAATACACCTGTATATTTATTTATTTTATAATTTTAGTTCATTTATTTGTATTATGTGTGAGGACATTAAGAAGTATTCTAAAAATGTCCAAAATATAAATATTTCATTTGGATTCAATGAAAAAAAAAATAATTACTCGAATATTAATGGAACTATATTGTAAATCTGAAAACATAGAGTTAGTGAAAGAATGCCCCAATCCCCAAATGGCAAGTAGAAAGACCAATATTAATGTGACAAAAGGTAACTTTTTCTAACTAGATTATTTTTTTATGTTTTAGCATCCAATGTATTATAAAAAAATAAGCCAACCCATGTCATTAGGAAATATCAGGCGATTCTTGGAACAAAATAGATATGATAAAGTGAAATATGTTATATGGGATTTGTCAAAAATATTTGGAAATGTAATGATTTATTTGTCAGTAAGTATCTATAGTAAAAAATATTAAACATGTAATATTAGATTTATGGTAGAACCTCTATTATCTGCCATTCTCTTATCTGTCAATATTGGTTTCATGTTATTCTTCGTCTAAACATTATTGTGTATTATTAATATTATATTAAATAAGAAAAAAATTAAAGGTTCTTATGAGCTAAAATACCTAGGTACTAATTATTATACTTCATCCAACTATTACATAGAATGTAATAATTTCTAATTTTTTTTCATTTACCTGTCATTCACTTTATCCTGTTACTGACTAATGATTGAAGTTCCACTGAATTGTACAAATTAATATTTATACATTATTTTTAGTGTAATATTTTTATATTTCCAGCCAAGTGATCCGTATTATAAGATAGCAAATGAACTTAATGATTATTTGTTCAAAATGGTAGAGAAATGGTTACCTAATCTTGAACTCTGAACTTTATAGAAAACATTGGTTTGTAAAAATTATTTATTTATTGTAATATATTATTATTGAGGCCGGATTAAGCACCTATTGGGCCCCGGGGCTGAAATTTTATATGGGCCCTTTTGACAAAACATGCACTAATTTGGGTATTAAACTACCGCCTCGGCTAGATCCCCCCCCTCCCTTTAATCCGGCCTTGATTATTATACTATTTATTTAAAATTTTAAGCGAGAAGCAAAATAAATAAAATTATTTTTAAATCACAAATATTACTTCCTGATATCAAATGTGCATGTACATTTTTACATTAATGTTACAACTCACAGTTAATACTGTTAAAAATTAGACTGAAATAATTAGTATTATAATGATTATGAATTATATTTCAGTATTTTTGAAAGTATTTTTCAACATATGTTGCTTTGTGATTAATAAAAAAAATTACTTGATAGTTTTATTAGTAAAATTGTATTTTAATGTTAATTGTAAATATGATCATATCATCTGAAATGTACATAGTTTTTATGTATTTAAAATGTATTTAAAATATGTAATTAAATTGATTTAACTTAATTTATAATTTTGCTAATGAACAAATTTTAAATGTTGTATTTATTACTTGAAAATTTGGAAAATCTTACTAAATCTTTTTTTTTTTTTTTTGCTAAATATTCATCAAATCATATGTTTCACATATTAATTTATTGGAAACATATATAATATGTATACAATTTCTATTAAATTCATCTGTGTAAAAAATTTAATTAAAATAAAATGTATATTAAATTATTGTAATTATTTTTAATTTATTACCTCAATTAAAAAAAAAAAAATACTCTATTCTTTTTCCAAAACTTATATTAGTTCTTTTAATAATTCTATCTGTGTACCAACATTTTAATCTAATTTATTTATACATGATATAAAGTTTAATAATTTTTCAATTACTTAATATTACATTTGAAATTATGATAATAATAATAATTTACATGATTAAACCAAAATTTTTTAATAATTACAAATTAGTTATTTTAGATTTAAACTACCATAAAATTAAAACACTGAAATTAATAAGTTTTTTTTTTAATTTGTACTGGTGAATGGCGTGGTGATGGTTGTCTATATTTTGATACATGTGGATTTTTAAATTTATACATGGATATAACTATATGGGTAACACTATAAAATGTAAGGATACTTCGTATAGGCAACTTAAGGTGCATTAAAGTGAGTTTGAAAACAGTACAAGTATTTCGTTATTCTTATGTATATGATTTTTTTTATGCATATAAAATATATTTAATATAATATAATATACTGAATAATAATTAATATGATTCCGGGTGTCATTTCTACATTTCTTTAGAACCGAAAGCCAAGAACAAAAATAATATTTTCTATGATAAAAAAAAATAAAAAAATAATTCAACTAATAAAACCCTTTTATAATAAGAGAAAAATCGTTAGGTTAGACTAGATTCTTTGTGAAAAACCAATGCACTTCTTTATTGGTCATTAGTAGGGCAGAGGACTTGTAGCTCCAAAAAAGCTCTAAATATGCAAGCACTTATGCATATAAAAATCCCATAATATGGACTTAAAAATTTTCTAGCCTTTTTATTTAAAAGTATTAATAAAATAAATAGTGTTTAAAACAAGTCAGAACAATTACATCATTTAAATATATTACTCGCGTATATAAAAGCCAAATAAATTGTACTTTGCCCTATTTTTTTCAGCAATAAGATGAAGTCCGTGCACAATACAAGTAACGTGAATAACTTTAGAATAGAATATTTTTATTGATTTCCCGGTTTTCACCATATAAGGCACCTCATCAATTAAAAAACAGTAGGACGTCGTCGTGGCGCACTTCTTCTGGCCACAATAGATGCATTGAATTATCAAATAATTTCACAATAGTCGATTGATTAGCTTTGGTCAGTACTTCGGAATTCAATAAAAATGCTTGGCCTGGACCATCGGTTTCAAAAGTACCGATTACTCCGTTTGCAATGTATCGACCTATTGAGTCGGTGGTCTCATCTATTGATATCCAGATCTTTTTACCAGTGATAGCATTTTTAATTTTATTCATAGTTTCAGAATACATTTCATCGACATAGCCTTTGCGTAATGTACTAATGACCGGAATTTGTTTCTCCGTATATTTTTCCAAAAACTGTTTGAATTGAACGTTACCTAGCTTATTAAGAGGTATGTTGGTTGATAGAATTGCAGAATATAAGTCTTTATTAAAATATGATTTTTTTAGAATTACTCACCAATTGTACTTTTCCCAATTAAAGTACATTTTGGTTTTTTTCTTTACGTTTGATGGAATTTTTGTGTTTGTCTGTATTAATGTGTTGCGTAACATTAAACCGTTTTTTCACTCTTTACTTTAACCTCACAATAGTTACAGTACAGGACTTTACCATTGGTCGAAAACGTACGGGCACCAAACTCAGACACAAAACATTTTAACCGACTACTTAAATGCTGTTTATTTTTCGGCATTTTATTACAAATTAAAATGTTCAAAGAAATTTATAATACAGCTAATAATAAGTCGGCACGGTAACACGAATATACATTCCGCAGAACTGACCGAGACTAAATACTAAAATATTGAGTATTGTCTTGTATAAAAACGTTTAATAAATCAATCCTAATCGAATAAAAGCCCACATGGTGCGTACACGACTGTGGTGGTGATGCGTAGGTGTAGTGTACGACGTTAGATCATTATCACTTTTAGGAAAAATGTGTGCCCGCGGACAGTCAAAAACCATATTATTAGACAACAATTAAAAATAAATAAATTTCATCCAAATATTTTGACTGTATTGTTTGAAATAAAAATGTCACTTTGGAAAAAATCGATTTAAGTTAAATATGTCTCAAAAAAGTATAAAATAGCGTATAAAAGTGTAAAATATGCCCTAAAAACAAAAAGTACTCAAAATATACATTTATATGCAAAATACAATTTCAAAACTAGCTTTGTGAAAGCATGGAACGTACTCTGCTATTCTTGTGACTATACAAAACAAATATGCAAATGTTTCAAGTCTTCTGCCTTAGTCATAATACAGTAAATAATGACCTAGGTTAAACCAATTTCCAACAAACCTTAACATTTTTATAGTTTGGAAACAATTGTTATATATTTTGAGCGACGCTAATGTATCTTATGGTAATCTTATGGTTTTACTATGATATTAATTTATTTTTATTTTAATTTTTTTGTAAACACTTTATTAGATAGAAATACTGTTCCAAAAACTTCATCTAGTAAATTTTTTTGATTCAAAATCGGCCTGCGGTGATACTAGTAACCAGTGGCGTAGCCAGGAATTATCTAAGGGGGGTTTATGTTTTTGTACATCACTAAAATATATTGCCCCGGTATGGTAAAACTGTAAATGGTCTACTGAGTTGTACGTAAATAGAATAATATATCCTTGATAAGACGAATAATGATACCTATTTGTGAACGTTATTATTATTTATAATAATAGTACAAAGTACACATTTATTGAATAATATAGATACATAGGTAAAAGTATAAAAAAAAAATCATTATTAAATTTTAATATAAGTATTAATATAAATTAAAAATATTTATATAATATTAACATTTACATTCTAAGTTAGGTATAATAAATAAGTTATAGCAATCTTATTTTTCTTGAGATTTTAGCAAAGTTATCAAGAACTTCATCTGTAGTTAAGACTATTTCACGATGAATATTTAGTAATGCTAAACTATTTAGTCGATTTCCTCCAGTAGTATTTCTGAGGTATGTTCTAAGTCTTTAAGGTAGAAAATGACCTTTCACTGCTTGTTGTAGTTACGGGAAGTGTAGCTAGTATTTGCAGAAGTTTATAAGTCTATGGAAAAATGAGTGAATTACATGTTATAAGAACTTCCTATACATTTTTTTGGTTTTTATGCTTAAACAAACTTTTGTGTCCATGTTAATACTTCTCCAATTACTGAATTAGTACTAGATTTAAATCTTCACTGTACTTTTTTGCAAACTTTTATTGTTTTTTTTTCTTTATCTGGCAAATTATTGTTTGGCAAGAGACACCAAAAATAGGCGATCAGTTATTTATGTACAATGAACCAATGAACTTCAAAGCATGAAGTTGTTTAATAAAGTTATCTAAAAATGGAATGAACAATGATATTTTATGGTAATCGTCGTTTGGGCAGGTAGGTTTTACATTAAAACGATTTTTCTGTATGTTTGTAACACGAGGTAAAGTTATTTCAATATCAAGTGACATATATTTTTTTTTTCATTTCCATTAATATTTTTTTAAATTCTTCGTCAGCATTATTTCTAATATTTTTTAACACATTAAAAACATTATCTGACAATTATATGGCTTCAACTAAATCAATATTTTGATATTGAAGAAGTTTACTGAGAGGTAAACTTATACTAAATACTTTTGCTAGTAGATATGTTGCTGATTGAGTAGATATGAGTTGATAAATTTCTGATGACGAATCTCTGTCTGACCATGTAGAAATAATGGATAATCCATCAACAACTACATCAAATAACTCCATAAAAGTAATTATGGAGTCATGCCGATCGAACCATCTTGTCGAACAAAGTAATTTTAATTTTGTAATCTGAGATCCAGAACAAATACGTTTTACTGATTCTAACATTACGTTTTGTCGTTTAGGGTATTTAAAAAACACGCATACTTCATGTATGGTGCCAGTACACTTTCGTATGGACTGAATATTACACGATCAGATATTGCTAAATTTAAACAATGTGAGGTGCAATGAATGTAGTGAGCAAATGAATATTTTTGCAATAGTTTTTGATTTGATTTTCTGACTATGTATAGTATCCGTAGTAATTACTAATTAGTAAAAACTCAACAGTAAACATTTAATAAGCCAACAAACTAGTAGACTACTTCAGTAGAAAACACTCAATACTTAAAGATATAACGTCTCTAACTCTCAGCAGCACAGTGTTATCACTGCGAAACTGTATCATATGATTACAACTAATGAGTTATCACTGGATTCTACTATCAACACTGATATCGATAGATATGCGACAATAGTACTACACGATATAAAGCCACTTGCTCGCGAAAAATCCATTATAAATTACTGATTAT